AGTGTGGAGGCTGATGAGCGATTTGGTTGGCTGGGCGATGTGCAGGTGAAGTGTTACATGCAGCAGTTGTTGCGGGGGTTGGAGCATTGCCACCGGCAGGGCGTGCTGCACCGGGACATCAAAGGATCGAACCTGTTGCTGGACAACAGCGGGGTGCTGAAGATAGCAGATTTCGGGCTGGCAACTTTCTTCAATCCGGATCAGAAGCAGCCTCTGACGAGTCGCGTGGTGACGTTGTGGTACCGGCCCCCTGAGCTGCTGCTGGGAGCGACGGAGTACGGCGTGGCGGTGGATCTTTGGAGCACGGGGTGCATACTGGCGGAGCTGCTAGCGGGGAAGCCCATCATGCCGGGACGAACGGAGGTTGGGAAATGTTTGGTTGCTGCGTTGACGGATACGGTGGATGGGCGATAGGCAGCGTAGTCGGGGGGAGGGGGCTTGGGTGGATAGATGAAGATGGAACGGTGCATGAGGTGGCGATAGGTGCGGAGGAGTGTGTTGTGGGGCGATGTGGTGGTTGGTGTGTGGGAGTGTAGAAGTCGCGGGCGCTGCATCGGTGTGCAGAGTGGTGAGCGATGGGGAGAGTGGGTGGCGAGGGGTCGCGTAGGTGGTAGCGCGGGCAGTCGCGGCGAGTGTGTGGTGAGTGATGGGGGGGGGGTGTGTGGAATGTGAGGCGCGTGCTGAAGTGGGGTTGGTTGTGGCATGGGTGTGTGGTGGCAGGTGGAACAGCTGCACAAGATTTTCAAGTTGTGCGGTTCGCCGTCGGAGGAGTATTGGAAGAAGTCGAAGCTGCCGCACGCGACGATATTCAAGCCTCAGCAGCCGTACAAGCGGTGCATTCAGGAGACGTTCAAAGAGTTTCCGGCGTCGTCGCTAGCACTGCTGGACACGCTGCTGGCGATCGAACCGGCGGATAGGGGCAACGCCAGTCAAGCATTGGGCAGCGAGGTGAGGGAGTGGACGGGGTGAGGATTTGATACGATTGGAGAGGACGGTGGTGTGGGGAGGAGTGGGGTGGATGGAGGAGGTGATGGGTTGTTTGAGCGGCGTAGGTGGATTGACGTAGGGCGTGTGTGGTGTGGTTGTGCAGTTCTTCACGACGAAGCCTCTTGCGTACGAGCCGTCGAGCTTGCCGCAGTACCCGCCGAGCAAGGAGTTCGATGCGAAGATTCGGGACGACGAGGCCCGCAGGTGAGATGTGGCGGCGGTGGGCGAGGATGCGGTGTGGGAATGTGCCAGGATTGGTGGTGTGGTGTGATGTGAGCGGGGCGCAGTTTGCGTGCATTGTGGGTAGGCGCGGAGTGTTGTGAAGTGGTAGTGGTAGGGAGTGGTGTCGGGTGTTGAGTGGTGGCGGACGGGGGCGGAGATGCAGGAGGGTGGATCAGGGGGAGGAGACGTGGTGACAGTGATGGGTGTGTTACGAATGAGCACGGAGGAATGTGACGATCTGAGCAAGTTGGATGGTGCGTGTGGTGATTGCAGGCAGAGAGCGCTGGGGCAGAGAGCAAGGAACACGGAGGTGAAGCGTCCGGGCACTCGGGAGCGTGTGGTTC